AGATGAGTAACACACACACACACACACACGCGCCCTGGTACACCCATGTGTTGAGTCACAGAGCATGTTCTGGCTTTCCTGTGACACTTCAGCAGATGTTTAACATCCCACCACTGATGTTTACCCCTCTTATCTTTCCCGCTCTTTCTCTCTCACACAGAACTCTCATCAATACTGCTCCCCTTTTGAACTCAATCTATGTTCTTTAGCTGGCCGATATAACAAGCTATCTGAATAGCGGGTGGATTTGGACGAATGATCCAGCCCTCGAAGACGCCAACAGTGAATTGGCACACAACGATTCTCTGTTAAATGACCGGCAGGTCCAATAGAAAGCTAGTGGACTAATTCAAAGCCCTCCCGTGAGGACTAACCCACTTTGGGTTTATAAAATGTAAATCTACATACTGACATAGTAAACTAGAAATTAAATATTTGTCAGAACAATGAAAATATTATGCGAATTGCGCCGTATGCTAGTCCTCATAGTTAGTTTTCCATTGCTTTAAGAGTAACACACCAGATACTGGAGACATCCGCTTGCCCTTGAACAACCAGAATAGTTTCTTTGTCCTCATTTTAGGTGTTGGACTTCAAGTGGCCTATTTAATGGGCTTAAGTATCTGATGCGAGCCGTAATCCTACTGGTGTGGTAAATATTAACTTATTTTTAAAGTTCCAGACCAAAAACGGCAGCAGAAACCCATTGGGAATCTATTGAAACACTGACGAGACACACATTGACTGAACCTGTTGCAACACACACCAACACGTCCCCTCCTCCCTAAACCACCTATGCTGGAATGCCCGACGAAGCACATGCCAATAAATAGCAACCGATACAGGTTTATGGGAAACAACAAGCCTCAAAATATGATAGGTAAAAAAAAAAAAAAAATAAAAATAAAAATAACATGACCAAATAAGAGTCATTTACATTAATTAAAATATTCATAATATTAGTAGCATTTTACATACATTTTATGTACTTAATTGTATTTTATATGTAAATAATATTTATGTATTATATTATTTGTATATATTCATTTTCTTAGACAAAATACATATTTAAAACTAATTAAAATCAGGTCTACATATCGATTATAAGACATTTACACAATCTTTATACCATATCAGTCATAAAAAGTAATACTGGCGATCTCTTAGATAGATAAAGTAGTGTATTACAGGTAGTGCACAGTTTTGTGCAAACTAATTAGTGCACTTATTTAATATTTTAAAAGGTAGACATACCTGCACACAGCCATACATTTGTGACCACTTAGTTTACAAGCTTAGCTTAAATATAATTGCATTGCAAATTAAATAAATAAGAGAAAATACTCAAAATTAGCTCATATTAAATATGTTTTTGTCTCAGTTAAATTATTTAGTATTCTTTAGTCAAAAGTAGAAATAAAACTAATTAAAACCAGTTCTTCATATCGGTTATCGCACATATAAAACAAAATAAGCAATAATGTAGATCTCAGATAGATAGATAGATAGATAGATAGGTGTGAGTGACTAAGTGAG